CGATTCGAAGTAGTCGAAGCATGGGTGGTGCTGTTTGCTTTTGAACACTTGGAAAACGAGTTCCCCACGTTTCGTCGGTGACGTTTGCCTCTGGATACTTGGAAAAAGAGTTCCCCAAGTTCCGTCGTTTCCAACTGCCACCTTTGTTTCTGTAGCCTGGTCATCACGAGATGGGTTGACTACGCCCCATGCTCCGGACCTCTATTCCGTTGCGTCCCCTTCCCCTGCGGCCTTCATCGACGTTCGCCATCGCCCACTTCACTGGACTTCTTTCCGCCATCGTCACTTCCTGGCGTCGACTACATCATCATAGTCGAGATCCCGAGTTCTAGTGTTGTATGCAAGTGTATTATGTGTTTTCTGTCTATTATGTGTTGTGTGTTTGTGTTTCATCATCGCCCGTCTGTGCGAGATATAGGGTGGCTAGTCGCATTAGTTTTCGACTTTGATCATTCGTGCCTCGTCCAGCCATTGGTTTTACATGGTTTGGACTCCACGTTTCTTTGTGCAGTTTGGTTGGGGTGGCAATTAACGCCTCTCTTCCGTTTTGGCCATGAACGTTCTTCAGTCTTACCTTTTGTGGTCAGCGCATTCAGCCGTAGTGTGCCCGTCGTCCTGTCCCACTGAATTTTGCGGGAGTAATTCTGGACTCTCTTGTGTCGCCACCCTCATTCCTCCAGTCGTAATACGCGCTTGCGCGCGAAATAGAGTGGTGTGTGGCGTTGATATTGATTTATTTTGTTTTTTGTGTTAAAACATGGTGCTTTGCAGCACATCTTGCCTAGCTACATCCCTCCATTGGTATAACCTTATCATTGAGTCGCCACTAGTTGTGTTTCCGCGTCATCGGAATCACCTTTTGTCTCAATGGTGGTGTGGGGAGTCGAGTCGGGATGTTTCTACAGCTCCTCTTTCCTTTGGATACACTTGTGAAGAGTCATATCTTTCGATTCATGATCCTAAATCATCAGCTATTAGTAGCCTTAGTATTTGAGTATAGAATCTATTTAGATGATCTTCAGGGTGGGCTAGTGTTAAGGAGTGTTGCTGTATGGCACAGATAGGGTACACAGTCGGTCTAGATTAAGATAGGGGACGTCAGGAGGTATACCCTCTTAGGACGTACCCCATCGGGACTTAGCTATCTGCGTGCCCCCAGGTTGAGGGCAATCCGCCTCACCTCAGACCTGTAGCAGACCCGCTTCTGCAATAACAAGCAACGTTCCCATCTCAACGTGCTCGTGGACAAGAGTGTCTACGGCAGAATCTACATCTACTACATCTAGGAGGCAAGCCACCGTCGGGCGGGCATTCCTTTAAACTGTGGTGTTGAAGCTGGGGACAATGTTATCCCAGGAACAACAGCAGATGAAGAAAAGGACCATGCATTACCTATCCGACACGCGAGCCCCTCAGGCTAGTGAGCTCGTGGGCTCTTTGTCCTTCTAGCACCAGGGGTCTACCACCCCCCATATAATTCATACCCATCCACGTACCCCCCAGCAGGCGCAAACAGCGCGCGTAGATCGGACACATCTCCAAAGTACCACAAACAGCCCCCCTACTTGATATGCCGTACGATCTCCCAACCAATGCAGAAACGCAAATAACCACTTGAGCAACATCCTCTACAAAAACTGATCACGCATTCAACAAAAAGCGTCTCCATAAGTTATTCACGAGTCCAACACATTCACATTCGCCCCTAGAAATAACCTCAAACCGTTGACACAAAAGAATCATCCTCGGAAAACACTCAACCAAAAATTATTCGTGTTACATCAGAAAAAGCGTCGGAACGAAACAAGCCTTTTCTGGAATACAGCTTCAATAGAGTTGAATACCAGATCCTCATACAAAACACAAACTCAACTTCTCGACCAATCAAAACAAGAATTCGGAAAGGACAATGGCCCCAACCATTAATCGTCAAAACACGTCAAACCCTTCCTCCAACATAGTGTTGAAGAACCAATCCCTAAACAGCGCGCAACCGCGAATCGATGCCGTCGCTATTGTCCAAGAAACGGTAGAAAACAAAGCAAAAAAGAAACATGTATCCTTGCAAACAGCTCCCCCCTGGTGTGACATCCCAAGAAACCGTCATCCCAACGTTTTATCTTTTCGTGAACAGCCCCCCTGCTGAGACACATCCAAGAACATAGGAGAAACAACAAGATCTCACTTGATGTGCATGCACTCTATAATTATGGTCACACATGGCATCCCCCCCATGATTGCAGATGCATAGACAGCAAGAAGAGACAAACTAAACTCTGCTACAAACGGAAACAACGTAGGAAAAAACAAACGCTAAGACCTCACGTCAAAGTACAAAAAAAAATCGCAACCACGTTGTTGCTTGATGTTTACCACAAAATCGCGCAAAATCACGGTGAAAGCAGAATGCCGCCCTGTGCAGTGGTTTTGGTCATAAAGTCGGCGTGCTGCAAAGCCGATGCAACGTGGACCACCTTAAAATGCTTGCGTGCCACCCCCTCCCGAATGAAATGGTGTCGCATGTTCATGTGCTTAGAGTAGGGGGTGGTGACCGGGTTGTTGGCCAAATGAAGGGCCCCCATCTTATCCTCGTTGACTCTAGTGCACCCGATGCGCTCATCCGGAAAGATAAAACTCCAGAGATAGCGCAAGAAAATCGCTTCCTTGAAACCGTCGCCCATCGCAACATACTCGGCTTCGGTCGAAGAAATTGTAACGCTCTTCTGCGTTCGCGACAAAAACGATACACACGCACCCGCACACATCACAACCGCACCAGAAACCGACCGCCGGTCCGTCGCGTTGCTCGAGTAATCGGAGTCAACGAAGAGCTCCAACGAGACACCACCCTCCGTTCCCCGCTGATACGTGATACCAAAATCGACCGTGAACCTGACATACATCAAAACATGCAAAGCTGCACGTCAATGCACCATCTTGGGGGCGTGGGCATACCTCGCCACAGCTCGCACTGCATTTAGGATGTTCGGGCGAGGCTGATTCGCCAGCCACATCAAGTGTCTTACCAAAGACTGAAAAGGCTCAAGAACATCACGCTGTGCATCGTCAAAATCCTCAAGCTTAAAGCCTACTGCGACGGGAGTCTCCTTGTTGCGTGTGGCACCGAACTTCTCAACCAAGTTCCTAGCAAACGTCTCCCACGACAACGTACTCGTGCCACCCGCGCGATCACGAGAAAGCCGAATACCCGCGTACAAACTCAGCTCCCCAAGGTTCTTGATCGGGACGAAAGCGTTCAAGTCTCTGCAAAACTGACCACACCTGCTCTTGGTCCCGATCGAGAAAATGTCGTCGACGTGCACAACAGCCACCATTGTCACAACACCATTCGCGATCAGACGCATGACACAAGCATCAGCAGCACACTGCTCAAACCCAAGGCGCTTCATTGCTCGGAGAAAATGGTAATGCCACATGCGGGACGCTTGCTTCGGACCGTACAGGCTATGGGCAAGCTTGACAACTTTACCCGCGAGAGAGCCACAACCTTGCGGCAAACGAATGTGCACATCGTCTTCCAGCTTGGATTGAACGAACGCCTGCTCAGCATCAAGGTGCACGAAATCCCAACCAAGATAACAAGCAATTGCGGCAAGAACGCAAATACTAGAAACAGACGGGCACGGTGAAAAAGTCTCAAAATAGTCAACCCCTTCCCGCTGACTAACACCCCTTGCTTCCAGTCTGGCCTTGGCACGCGTCACATCACCGAACTCGTTGGACTTCAAAAGGTACACTCATTTGGCAGAAATGATGTTCGTCCCTGGCTACTACAAGCCCGCCGCCGGCGAAAAAGTCTCCGCCTCGAGAAGTCCGGTGAACTCCGCGTGCTCAGCGCTGTACCAGATGTCACTGTCTTCGCCTGAGTGCTCCGCCCACGCCGTCGGGATCACGCGCTCGCTCGGAGGCCCATCCGGCAGCTCCGGACCCCCAAAGCACCGCTCATCGTCCATCCGCGCGTCAAAGTCTTCCGCCATCGCAAGCATCGCGAACACCCCCGGTGATCCCGGCAGAGGTCCAGCGGCGGCCAAGCGCCGCGCCGATGACCTCGTGACGGAGGGGGTGACCTGATGACGTTGCTCCTGGGTCTGCATGTGTGGCGCGCGCGGGGGCCGGCGCGGGTCGGGGCCGCTCCGGTAGAGGTAGATCACGAAGCTGCTGTCGGGAGCATCGCGGTCGCGGGCCCTAGTGTGCGCGCCACGGGCGTCGCCATCTCCTCCATCACCGCCACCGCTGCCGCCGCCGCCGTCGCCGCTGTCGCCACCGCCGCTGCGACCGCCCGAGTGGCTGGCGCCAACGCGGCGACCGGGGACGCCGCTGCTGCTGTCGCCGCTACCATTCCCCCCGCCGCCGAAGCCGCCGACGCCGCCACCGACGCATCCATCGCCGCTGCGTCCATCGGAGAGCCCGGCGCCAAAGCGGCGACCGGGGATGACGCTGCTGCTCCCGCTGCTGCCGTACCCCCTGCCGCCGGCGCCGCCTCCATCACGGCTGCTGCCGTCCGAGGGCCCGACGCCAACGCGGCGATGTGTCCTAAAAAAATGAGCCGCTCCCCCAGCTCCAAAAGTAGCCGCCCCCCCGGCAGCCCCATCCCTGTAATGGTACCCAGGCGCATAATCGGCGCCGTCCATCCAAAAGTTACCAGCCGCGTAACCGGCATTACCCACCCTCTCTCTAGAAGCGTCCTCAGCTGAACTCCTCTCCTCTGCCTCCTCAACTCTTCTCTGCAGGTCCGCCATCTCGACCTCCGCTTCACTTGTCCTTCCAACTCGTTCTTTCTTTCCGTCATCGCTGAACCAACACCTGGCGTAGTTAGGCTCCAGAGGATACATCGTATTTGTGTGCACTGCCGGCCTCAGCGGCCTGTTGTGTTGAAGCTGGGGACTATGTTTTCCCAGGAACAGCAGGTGAAGAGAAGGACTATGTATTATCTATCCGACACGCAAGCCCCTCAGGCAAGTGAGCTCATGGGCTCTTTCTCTCTCTAGCACCAAGGGTCTTCTCCCACCCCCCATATACTTCATACCCATCCACGTATCCCCCATCAAGCGCATCAGGGCATGTAGATCGGACACATATCCAACGAACCACAAACACCCGGCGACTCAAAAATGCCTACTAGCGGGGGGGGCTCCCGTTTTCGGGTTTGCTTCCCCCCTCCAGTGAAGGCGGGGCACATTGTACAGCGTCAAGCCGAATGCCGGGCGCGTGCCGTTGTCGTCTTCCCATGCGCCAAGCCGTAGTGGTTTCCGTTGCTCCAGCAAGCAGCGGTACGATCCCCGATAGTAGCTCAGCGGGCGCAGCCCGGCATCTTCCATTGGCCCTGCCAGAACGGCTCTCTGCGCGGTTGGCGTTACTAGCGGTGAGCTATGATTGCGTACCACGTTATTTTCCATTTAGAGGGGGAAGTGTTCAGGAGGGCGGCTGCTAGCATGAATAGGGTACATCTTGTTGTTGATTGGATAAGGGTCGGTCAGGAGGTAAACCCTTCTGACCTCTACCCTCCTAGAATTCTCTACTCTGTGTACCCTCCTGCGATGAACCTGGATCCCCACTTCATCTCAGACCCTTGCTGATCGTCTCTCAGCAATAACAAGCAACTTTCCCATCTCAACATGGTCGTGGACAAGTGTGTCAAAGACGAAACCTCCATCTATCTCTAGGAGCAATCTACCGCCCACGGCTTCACCTCCTTCAAACTTGGCGTTAGCGGCAGGACAGTATCCAGCTGACGCCATAAGCAAAGGTGTACCGACCCCGATGATTACGGCAGTCTATGAAGTGCGTGCTACTGCTGTACAGAGAGTCAAAGTTGCTGCTGAGATCCAAAATCCACCCGTCAGACAGAGAGGAAAACGCCAATCGCTGTCGAAGGGCGTGGGGATAGGAGGCGCACCTCGTTTCCACTTACTGAGGAAGACCGATTCACGCAAACATGGTAGAGAGGACAGCAGGCGGGGTGTCTACATACTAGTATATTGACTAGAGAGAATGGGCCCCCGTCTAGGTGATAGAGGACCCGTCAGTCTACAGGATAGAAGATGAACGATAGGGATTTAACCGTGTGGATGAAACAAACGCCCTTCCTCGAGGAGGATGCCTGGTACAGTACCGACCACATACAGGATATAGGGCTCTGATCATAGACTAACAGTACTTGCAGGCAGATTTTTTACCCTCGCGGTCACTACTGCTGTACTCTGCCTGCGACACCCACGCGCATTACTGGCAGGTGGCCGGTGACGAAGATGATCCAGCAGGGCGTTTCGAGCCTGCGGAGGAGATGGTGCTCCGGTGCCCGCCCGGATGGAGGAGTAGTAGCAGAACCTGGCGATAACACGGTGAGTTGGGTACATCTACAGACATGAACCCATTCATCTCCGACCTTGTAGTACGCCGGCCGTGCCGTGGCCGACGAATCTGGCATTGGTCAGGCGTAGAGTATGTCGCAAGACGTGCGACTAAAAAAAGAAAAGGTTAGACTAGAACGACGAAACCTCCAACGTACAATTATCGTTTTTTTTTGCTTGAAGAGTTTCTGAAGTGTGTATTCGCACTCACCAGAGCTCACTGTTTGGAACAAGAGCCGCCCATCCCAGGGCCTCGACTGGTACTAGCGCGCCGGGTTCTCACAGGGCCAGGCTCTCACATCACCAAGCGCGAAGCGCCGTGAGGTATTCGGCGAGTCGCATGAAGGGTGCGCTGCATCCTGCGGAGGTTGTTCACCGCGGGAGGGGGGGGGCGTACTCATGTTCTGCATGCCTTGGCGGTTAGGCCCCGTACCACGCGTCCTCGAGAGGGCGGAGTATTGTTCCCACTTGACCGACCACCGATGGCCAATCGTTTCTTCCTAATTGTCAACGGTGTCTCAAAAATGTTTTGCCTAGCCTAGGGGGGGCGGGGGGGGGGGGGNNNNGGGGGGGGGGGGGGGGGGGGGGGGGCGAAGGTGGCTCGCGAAAGTACGTGTCGGGCCCCTCAATTCCACTCTCTCGCGATGTTTGTATGGAATGTCGCCAGTCAACCCACAAGAAAGGGACCCGATTCGCAGGGTATCAGAGTACCAACTGCTGTACATTATTACGATGGCAGCACGTGCGGTCATGGCTGCCGCCGCAACAGCCCTCGTTGTTTTGCGTACCGAAACCTGAATCCGGCGTACCAGCGCTGCATAGGTACTGCTGTAGAATCGGATATATATATATATTTATTTATTTTTTTTCTCTCCCATCATTGAACTCTGTCGTCGGCCCCTCTGGACCCTATCCTCCAATTCTACTAGCTAGACGACCCAACCGGGGTCACATAGGAGGGGGAATATGTGGACGGCTGTTGAGATATTTGAACGGCAGTTAGGAGGGCACTCGCACTGAAGCAGAGACTCTGTATCAACAGGCGCAACGTATCGTGACATTCTTGACGTACGTATGCAGGCTGAGCAGGGGCGGCAACAGCAAAGGCCGGAGCGGCAAGTGCGGTCCCACGGGCGGGCGCACCTTGCCGGACGTGCGACTTTGAGGGCTCGGGACCGGCAGCGGGCGCAGCCGCAACAGCAACAGCAGCGACGGCGCCATTTGCCACAGGAGCAACGGGAGGTTCAGCAGGGGCAACAGCAGTTGCGGCAGAAGCAGGAGCCGATGGACAAGGCGTACAACCGGGTGCGCAGCATGTTGGATCTCCCGTGCATGCGCGATCAGGTGCTGTTGGTGGAATACCTGGCGAAGTCGCGCGAGCGGTTGGAGCAGGAGCAGTTGGAGCGGAATCGAATTCCGATCGCCCGGATGCTGCGGATGCTGCGGCAGGACCGGGAGAAATAGGCGAAGCAGGAACAGGAGCGGTTGGAGCGGGAGAAACTGCGGCAGTAGGACCGGGAGAAGAAGGCGAAGCAGGAGTAGGAGAAACGGGAGCGGAAATAGCTACAGCGGCAGGAGCGGGAGCGGGAGAGGAACCAGCAGCGGCGGCGGCGGCAGCAGGAGGCGGAGGAGCAGGCGAAAGCGCAACAGCAGCGTTTGGATCGGCTGTTGAACCAGGGCTACCAGAAGCTGCTGGAGCGGGAGCGGGAGCGGGAGCGGGAGCGGGAGCAGGAGCAGCAGAGCACGAGCGGGAGCAGAATGAGAGGAACAAGGCGCAGCAGCAGCGGGGAGCATTATTTTACGTGCGTCGGTGGCGTCGGGAGTGGGAACAGAAGCGAGACCGGCCACAGAGGGCGGACGACCACGCGAAGTCGCAGGAGGGGTCGCAACACCAGCAGCAGACCCCACAAGAGAAGCGGGAGAAGCAACAGCACCGGCAACAGCACCAAGGGCAGTGGCGGGAGCAGAAAAAGCTGAGGAGGACGCAGCAGGAGCAGGAGTGGGAGGGGAAGAAGAAGCGGAAGATGAAGGCGCTGCCGGGCTACCAGTACGTGCTTCAGCGGGAGCAGGAGCTGGAGCAGCTGAAGCTGCGACAGCAAGAGCAGGAACGGGAGAGGAGGAGGAAGAAGAAGGCGGCGAAAGAGCGGGAAGGCAGTTGTCGGCGGCGGCGAAAGAGGGAACAGGAGCGGGACCGGCGAGCCCAGGCAAAGTTGCAGCAGGAGCGGCAACACTGGGAGAACGACGACGCGAAGTCGCAGGAGGGGTTGCAATACCGGCAGCAGACCCCACAAAAGAAGCGGGGGCAGCGGCACCAGCAGCAGGAGCAGCAGCAGCGGCAAGGTCTAGCATCTCTCGGTAATTCTCATGCCGTGAGGAATGCGTCGGAGACACCGCCCCCGCGCCCAGGCCGTGACTCTGGCGCTACTTCGGGAACGCCCACCGAGCGCCGAAAGGGCACGACCTCGGCGCCGACCAAGACGGTCAAGCGGGCTCTTCGCATGGCGGGCACGGAGGCCGAAGCGCGCCGCATCACCCTATCGGCAGAGCTCCGCACCGACAGAGACGTTCCGGGGTCCTCCACAGGGTTGCCGCAGCAACACATGCGCGAGAGGGTGGAGCACACGCTCGACTTCTTGTGCTTCCCTGAAGCGAGCGGCCTCGGACGCAGGAGGCGGATGGGCTCCGGTAAGAAGGTCAGCAAGACTATCTTCTGGGCGTACGTTGGGGCCATCGCCCGGCCAAGGAAACTGGCCAACGCGGACGCGGTTCCTGGAAGTGCGGAGAAGCGGCAGGGGTGCAACACCGGTGGTGCCGTACCCGCTCCTCGCGTCTCCTCGCCACGCGGGCAGGAACAGCGGGAGGCGCTAGGGCAGCACAGGCGACAAGAACGGGGGATTCCACAGGTAAGAATGGCCGATGGCTCGTGTGAGTGCAGACTAGGCTATTGCGTGCGAGATCGTTGGCGTGACCGGGGTTTAGTCGACCTTGCCGGTATTCATCCGCCGGTCTCCGTTGCGGGGACATGTTTCACAGGCCCTCATTCACCCGAGACATGCATACGACGATGAACTCGATGGGAAGACAACTGGCTCTGGACAATGTGTCCCACCCGCTCTTTCGCACGTTGGGGCATTGCAAACGACCTCCCGTCTCTTCGGTACCTCAGACGACCGTCGAGGCGAGGCCGCTGCCTGACCTGACGCGGGGTGAAACGTTCAAGGTGGAGCACCCGCCGAAGAGTTCGTCGGGCGAGTTCTCCATGGGAAGCGACGCGACGAGGTGAGTTCCGAAACAGCCCTTCATGCCAAGAAGCTGCCACACAACCTTGGGAGATGTTCTCCATCTGGATGTCGGTGCTGCTGAGTGAGGTAGACACATTTGACACCACCAATGCACCATGGGACATGCGGACTTGCTGTGACGCGGTTTACCGAAGGTGTCCGTGAGGATGCTGGCCGCGAGGGATTCCTCAACCTCACAGCTGTACCTTCCCCGGGGGTAACCGTTCGCCTCCAACTAAACAGGCACGAGACACAATCGTCGTTGGTCAAGCCGACCTCCGGCGGCGGCAAGACCGTCAATGCGCTCCCGTTCCTGCCGATTCCGCCGGTGGGACCATTGGCAGGACGAAGGGCAGGGGCTTCGGGAGCATTGGTAAGAAAATGGATGATGAGGATATTGATGTTGTTGTTTGTCTTATATATTGAGCCTTTCGGAAGGCCCTAATCGATGGTCATAAACCAGGTACAGATTTCTCTAGCCCGAACCCCACGTATTGGTAGATATATCGCACACAGACGAAGTTATACATGACAAAGAAGAGAGGAAGGCTTCCTCGTTGTCCATCGCGTGTAAGTCGAATCGCGAGTACACACAACGGTCTCGCATGTCCGCTTTTGCGCTCCCTAGAATTCGTTGTAATAGTGTCCAATTTCTACCATTCGGCGACGGTTTAGTACCCTTGCATGTCTCCAGGACAACGCATAGCCCTGTTTGCATACCACACATCGCCAAATACTCCTTCCTACAAGCTAGAACCGATCGCAGAATAGGAGACAATCCTACGTATACTAACCTCTGAACAGCACATACAAACTGCCCCGGTCCCATAGCTCCATGTGTTGTTGTGGCCCACAAACACCTAACGAAGGCTGCATCTGACCGCGTCGTACCCCGACCCTCCGCAGCAGGCGAAGCCAGTGACTCCTACGGAGCCATCACGGCTGCGTCCATTACCGCCGCCGCCCCGGCCGTTCCCGTGCCCACCGGAGTGGAAGAGGATCCGATCCACGGAACGGTTTTTACATCCGTATCCGCCGCCGCCGCCGCCGCCGTTCCCGTGACCACAGGAGCGGCAGAGGGCTCCAACCACGAATTGGATTCTGCGTCCATTACCGCCGCCGCCCCGGCCGTTCCCGTGCCCACCGGGGTGGGATAGGACCCGATCCACGGAACGGTTGCTGCAATTACTGCCGCCGCTTCGGCCGTTCCCGTGGCGGCCGGGATCGATGAGGGAGCAAACGACGGGGCGGGATTTTCTCCCACGAACAAGACGTCCGTGGCGTGTACGGGTATGTCGATCCCCGATTCACCGGTGAGGCTGCCGGCGGAGTTGCTGGGGGACGGCTCTTGGTGTGTTCCGCGTTGTTCTGTAGTGTTGGAACCCAGCTGGGTGTGCTATCAAAAGCCGCCCCGCGAAAGCCATGTTTGTCTTGGTTGAGAATCGCATTAGTGCTATGTTGGACACGCGCGCGTTCCCGCTGCCATGTTAGGTCACTTGGAGGAAAATTGTTGCCGCCACCCGCCACTACGTAGCTGATACCCCCCAGTTGAAATTTACGTCTACACGACCTGACAAAGACTTCCGTTCCCGTGCCCTCGACTCTACTTTCGTCCTTGTGTATTCCATCGCCAACACTCAACCTCGCGACTTGGGCTCCCGCTCCCGCCAGGAGTACGAGGAGCTGTTCGCCGCACAAGAAGCCCAGATCCTCCGCAACCGACCGGCCACCAAGACCGCCCCCCCCCCGCCTGACACTACCGTTGGCGACACACGAAGCTCATCGACCGACGCGCCCGTTACGCCCAAGACAGAGCAGCCGTTCGAACGGGTGAAGCAAGGGAAATGAACGGAAATCACAGAAGACTACTTGAGCACGGACAGCGAAGACGGTTCCGGGGAGGAACACGGGTGGGGATGATTGTTGATCCCTGACGGCCGATCACGCCACCACATCATTCCTTCTGCGCGATCGACTAAGCTGTTGTCCTGGAAGTGTTCTCATGCTGCGGATTGTCCGACTATTGCACTTGTCGTAGGCCTTACAGCGCGTTCTCCTTCTGTTAGGGGCGATTGGCGCGTATTGTCACCGCAAGCGTGCCCTCTACTACTGTAGTTATCAGCATCGCGGATGGAGGTGTACCTGGATGGGCTATTTGTTTAACCTTAGGGACCCCCTAGTCCTTCGCAACCTTAACAACGGCCGCCCTCCCCGGATGGAGGGATATTGCTGACATTGGAGAAGTCAGCCTTGCTATCAGAGGCATGGCGTGTTGCACCTTCGTAGATCTTACAGCGCGTTCTCCTTCTGTTTGGGGCGATTGGCACGCTTTAACAGCGTGCGGTGATGCAACCATGAACGGTGCTCTCCACTGTTGCTATCAACATCGCGGATGGAAGTGTACCTGCATGGGCTGATATTTGTAACCCTGCGGACACCCTAGTCCTTCGTAACCTACATATTCAACGGCGTCGCTCCCGGATTGAGGACGTTGAAGAATCCAGCCTTGCTATCAGAGGCATGGCGTGACCACGGGAATGAGATCAATCGCTGTTCGTGCGATGGTCACGGGTCGCCGTTTTGGCCACCGGAGAGGCCACAACACTATCAAGTGTTTATCCTTACTGCTCCTGTGGGCGGCCGTCACGACGTTGTTATTTAGGATGAAAAAGGGATTCGAGACCGTAATAACACGCCCAAGTCAGGAGCGTGATGCCTCCTGTGTGTCACCGCAGGTTGCTCGATCTTCGTATCTGTCAAATTGCGCTTTATTCACCCAATAGCCGATAGTGATCACCATCCGGGGAGGGGCACGCCTCGTTTAGGAGCAAACTAGGGTACACCGGCGAGGGTGGTAAATACCCCGTTGTTATTTAGGATGAAAAAGGGATTCGAGACCGTAATAACACGCCCAAGCCAGGAGCGTGATGCCTCCTGTGTGTCACCGCAGGTTGCTCGATCTTCGTATCTGTCAAATTGCGCTTTATTCACCCAATAGCCGATAGTGATCACCATCCGGGGAGGGGCACGCCTCGTTTAGGAGCAAACTAGGGTACACCGGCGAGGGTGGTAAATACCCCGTTGTTATTTAGGATGAAAAAGGGATTCGAGACCGTAATAACACGCCCAAGTCAGGAGCGTGATGCCTCCTGTGTGTCACCGCAGGTTGCTCGATCTTCGTATCTGTCAAATTGCGCTTTATTCACCCAATAGCCGATAGTGATCACCATCCGGGGAGGGGCACGCCTCGTTTAGGAGCAAACTAGGGTACACCGGCGAGGGTGGTAAATACCCCGTTGTTATTTAGGATGAAAAAGGGATTCGAGACCGTAATAACACGCCCAAGCCAGGAGCGTGATGCCTCCTGTGTGTCACCGCAGGTTGCTCGATCTTCGTATCTGTCAAATTGCGCTTTATTCACCCAATAGCCGATAGAGATCACCATCCGGGGAGGGGCACGCTCGTTTAGGAGCAAACTAGGGTACACCGGCGAAGGTGGTAAATACCCTTGGAGATGTCGGATGCGATGAGTGCCACGGAAGGATGCCCCCCCCGCCGGCGGGGGGGACGCTTGGTAGTACGACGATCACCACCACCACCGCTGCCGCCATCGCCTCCACCAAAAACCAACGAGGTGAGATTACACCCATCAATAGGAAGGCGAAGCCGGCCGAAACTACAAGACGGGAGGAACCAAGAATCAACCAATGTGGTGCTTATTGTGTATGTCCAAATGAAGGCGGACGGACGTCCAACTACGGTTCATCCCAGGTAGGGAATCTCCTGTCACACGAATCATCAGAAGCAGCCCAGCACATACAGATGCGAAGCCATGAGGCCCTTTAGTATGAGTCGTGTAGTATTCGTAAGCTTAGAGTATATGTATGACCCCATCGAAAAAAACAACACCCACAACCGGGGGCAAGAAAAAAACAGTCCAATCATACTTCGTATCTTGGTACATATTTCTACAGGCGTTGTTGACTTTCTCCCTCGCCATTTGGTGTGCTTGTGTGTGCTGGTGTTTACGGTTCACATACGTGCACAATCGACCTTGTTACCAGGTGGTTGTTTGATAAGTTTGAGATAATAAATGGCGTGTGCATCCGGCGCCGGAAGAAGGTTGCTACTGCGTATTTTTGATAGCTACGATGGGCTGGGGACACTTCCTTCTGAGAAGATTTCAAGTAAATCTTGAAGTACAGTGCTTGCTTGGTGACAATACATTTGCGGCAGATTTATCCAAGAGCAGCTTTGTTTGCTGACGGCGTAAGTAGCAAGTGCAGACAACACAATCCGGGTTTCTGAAACATGTCGAAGTGCCATATGTAGCGTTTTTTTTTTGGGTGCGCTTGGAGAATATTCGCAGTCCAAGGGCATCCTCGAACGAGAGAAGAAGGAGTGAGGTATTCTCAAAGAGAGAGTCTTCGTGTGCCAGAGAGGGTAGCGCAGAGACAACGAACAAAGGGGCCACATTTCAGGCTGCTACTACTGCAGTAACAAGATGTGCCGGTACCATCCATGGTGAGATCCTACTTCGCCACACTTGAAGAATTGCGCCCTACTCCCCAAGAGGTTAATGACACAAGCTCATGAACATACATACCCCCATCCGCGATGCTTCAACAAGGCAGAGCGCGCAAACACATAATTGCATGACCTCATGGTATCAATGCGCCCCAATCACGCCAAAGAGGAGCCCCACGAGAACAACGACAGTCGGGCTTTGCGCAGAATGCTGCCGGAGAAGAACTTGCTATTGTCGATCGCGCAGAAGAAATAACTCGTGGTGGCGCACACGACCTGCAGAGATCAAGGCCAGTCAAGCCTTCCCGCCTTCCTTCTTCTCGCATCGCCGCACTACCCATCACGCCCGAGACAGATGAGAACGCGGCCGCAACGTACGCCCTCCCCCATCCCGACACCACCGTTTGCGACGAGGAAAAACTCCTATCGACGGCAGAACCGGTCACGCCCAGGACAGATCGAGGGACGTGGAGGGAGCTCACAAGCGACTGCGGATCATCCCTGTCGGGACGCTCGTAGTCGTTTTGTGAGTTCACTCCACGATCCCTCGCACCCCCAATAGAACCTCCTGATCTGTCTTGGGCATGAAAGGTTCTGCAGTCGATGGGCTTGCCGCGTCGCAAACGGTGGTGTTGCGATGAGGGGTGTTGGTCATGGTGCTCGTTCGTTGCTCTTCGATGCTCCAATCCTCGTACTCCCAACGGGAGAGGGGGACACCGTGGCAACAGCAAGTATCGGCTGTTGAATAAGGAAGCACCGCAGGCAGGGGCATTAGAACATACCGTACCTCTTTGCTAGGTCGGGTAGGCATACATGTCAACCGGAGGGTATCGATGATGAGGTGGTGGGTGGCGGTTGAAGCTGTCCAAATGGCCTGACTTCAGCAGCCGAAAAGCGTCGGCAGCATACATGCTAAAACGAGGCCTCAACCCAGAAACGAATGCACAGATCGACCAGGGCGGCTCGGAATAACACACACCGTTGGATCCTCCTACAGAAAAGGAACCACACCCGGAGTCGTCGCCCGGCGCCTCCAGCGGGAATCTCACCGTCGGCATGTAGGAAATCGGCCTCCCCGTATCGCGATGAACGCGAACCATCGCGGCAGGAGACGCCTAGCCCTCTTCCCAGTAGCCCCCAACGGTAAAGGTGGGTCGATCTTCACCGTTGAGTAGTGGGTACTGGTCCGTTGCGGCGTCACGGACCCGCACCAACAGTTCATGCGCCACGGACCAGCATCAACAGTTGGGCGGTGAAACGCGCATCGCGTTCAGCCTTGGTGGCTACGGGAGGAGAGTTTGGCCCCTCCTGAAGCTACGGTTTTCGCTCTTCGTGCATGTTTTTCTGCCGAGGGACGCGGCCGGATGCAACCTTTGCTAGATATTTGTGGGCAACACCACATGGAGTTGCGGGGCACCAGTCGGCAGAAACGAGGGACGAGTGTATGTTTACCGCGCCGTGGGGGATGAGCAGAACGTGGGAAAATATCCCATTCTGCGATCGGGTTTACCTCATAGGAAGAAGTATTTGGATAGATGGTGGATTCAAACATAGCTATTCAATGTCCTGGGGATATGCAGTGACCCGAAACCGTCGCGGAACGGCAGAAATTGGACACACGATACTTTGCAACAGAGACCAGGGAATGCAACAGCGGACATTCGACACCGTTGTGTTTACTCGCGATTCGAATCACACGCGATGAACAACGAGGAAGCCTTCCTCTCCTCTGTGTGATGCAATACCCCGCCTGCGTGCGATCTATCCATCTCTTTTTCGGTCACTGGGCCATTGAAATCCGTGGCTGGTTTGTGACCATCGACAAGGACCTTGGCGAATGGCTCTTTATTGACAAGCAACACCTGCAATGACACAATCGCGATGGGGATATTGCTGTTGTTGTTCGTCATGAGCATTGAGCATTTCCCCAAGCTCCCTACTACATGGCACTTCGTCCGGGGAGATGTTACAAACTTTTCCCCGCCCCCCCCCCCCCCCCCCCCCCCCCCCCCCCCCCCCCCCCCCCCCC